GGCGGGGGGTGAGGAGGGTGCCGTTGCGTCCCCGCACCTCCCGGCAACCCTATAACTCGTTCCCTCGGTCTCCCTCTGATTCACTCGGACTCCGGGCGGGTGCGCAAACTGAGCTGGTGCCTCTTGGCGACTTTACCAAGCGGGCGCCTCCTGCCCGAGCGGCGCGGACCCTGCGCCGGACCCAGCCCGGGCGGCCGCCAGGTCTAAGGCGGTAGCCCGAGCCGAGTCGAGCTCGCCGGAGCGGGTGAGTCCCGAGCCCGAGCCCCGCAGGGCCGGGGCCCGCGTGCAGCCGTCACGTCTCGCGGGAGTCGAGACAGCCGAGGTGGCGCGTCGCGCCCTGGCGGCTGGAGCGGCGGGAGGGTCGGCGTGGCTGCTGACCGCTGGATATTTACCTGCTGCACCACTGTCCTGCGGGCAAGCGCGCCCGTGGCAGCGCGGTTCTTTGTCCGGCTATTTGGAGGGTCCCGGACTGGAGCGAATATGGGGTCCTGTCCCCTGCGGGGGGGAGGGGCTGGGGACAGACAGCGTGAGGCCCCGGAGAATGCGGAGTGGGGGTGGGGAGATCCTGCAGAGACGGAGATGCTGGGGTTCCTTGGGACTCCGCAGACTTGCCTTTCCTGGTTCCCGACCCCAGTGACTCTGGGCCTAAGGGTCGGTGGTAGTCGCCCCATGTTTGCGCACCACTGGGGCGGGAAAACCAGGAGGGGGCAGTTAGAGGCTGAAATTTGTCGTCGTCGTCGTCCCCCCCACCCCTCCCCCTTCCCCGCGCCTCTCTAGGGACAAGTGGCCAGGACCCAGAGCCGGGGTTCCTGGAGCAGGCACAGGTGGGGTAAGCTCCCCAGGGAACCTCAAATTCTACAAGCTTGTTTATGTGTGAGGTTAAAGGTCAAAGATCAAAGTAGATTCTGGATAAGGACTTTGAGGGAGGAAATAGAGTCCAGGAAAGGCCTTGTGTCCTGTAGGAAGCTGTAGTCAGGCTCCTGGTGAGTAGAGCCCACCTCAGATCTGTATGAATCATTGGGAGCTTCTTTCTCTTTCTCTCTCTTTCTCTCTCTCTCTCTCTCTCTCTCTCTCTCTCTCTCTCTCTCAATATCTAATCAATGAGCTGATGACTGCAGTAGAAGAAACCAAGATTAGACATAAAGAACTTTTAAGGGTAGTACATTGATGAAGGTTGGAGAGGTTGGCTTTCCCCCTTGGGTATTCTCAGAACAGGTTAGACCTGTTATTAGACTGGTTCTCTGGTGTCATCCTCAGCTATACCACCCAGCTCCGTGTAACCTCCAGACAGAGTATCCCCCAAGTCAATCAGTCACTTTTTATCTTTCCCTTACTCCCTAGTTCTCTTTTTCTCCAATGATCCATCTGCAGTGGGGCCTTCATGCTGGGCCTGACCCTCAGAATACAGAAAGTAAGGCTTCGCCTGTCAGGTTCTGCCTTCCAGGGCAGAAATGCTTCTGATGGGATGGGTTGTTGTGTGTAGCTGTTTGGGGGTAGCACTGGTGTTCTGACTTCAGAGGACTGCCTTCAGTCTGGATAGCAGGCTGAGGTGAGTGAAGAGCCAGGGGCCCAGATGAATCTGTACCCTCCCCTCCCTACTGATTCTGAAGGCAAGTTTGAGTTGTGTGCCCTGGGGAACTTTAACTTTGCTGCTGGGTCACCAAGCCCCAGGAAACCCTGATGCCAAGGGAGGAGGTTGAAAAGGACAGGATGTTGACAGAGGGAGACTGGATCACAGCAAAAGAAAGCTGCTCAGTTGTCTTTGGGACCTTGGGGATTTAGACAAGCACAGGGTCTAGGGAGATGTGGTGTTCAGATCAAGGTGCCATGTACCCCACCTCCCAGTTTGCTCCCTAGAGATACCTCCTGGAACCAGATTCCCCAATCAGAAAAATCTGGCACTTTTCATCTGCAGTTTTATGAAAAATACAAATGGGTAGAGCACACCTAACTCTCTTAAACATTTTGTCTTTTTCCTTACCTTCCTCCAGCTCTAAGTCTCCTGAGATTTCTAGTAATATCCTGAGCTTCAACAATTGAGACTCAGATGCCACTACCATTTACACAGGCCTTCCCATAGGTCTGGTGCATCAGAAAGCTCATGAATCAGACCCTGACTTGGAAATACCTGTATTCAAGTTGTCCCAAGTAAAAGTAAATCCTCTTTTCCTCTAAAAACCCTAAAGATAAAAGGTCTGCTTTCTTCTTTAGTGTACCCCTTCTGTCCCATGAATCTACATAGTCAGGGACCAGTTCTCTAGCTATCTATCCTTGTGTCCTTTGCCTTGTGAGTGAATGAATTTTATCCACGAGCCGAGTTGTACAGGGTGAGGTGTGGGCAGCAGAAATCAGAAGTGTTCCAGAATATTCAGAACCTGAAGGCTGACCCAAGCTTCCCTGCCCCCACCCCAGGCTGGCAGCCAAGAGTGGTTATTCCCAGCCTACCAGTGGCCAGGAGATGGATGTGATGTTTGTTAGCTTTGCTAATGACTCTGGAGATGTTCTTTGATTCAGCCACCTGGCTTTGAAGTTGGCCTTTTGCAACCCAGGGAATGTTTTTTCCTGTATGTGATAGCAAATGAAATGCACAACATTTCTATAAAACAGAGCCTGTTTCAACATCAGAATAATCAGCCACTCCCTCAGCTTCTTCTAGCTAGAAGGAAGGAAGCCTGTAGCTTTTGTCTCCTTGAAGGAAAGGGTGCTACACATGATTCTAAACAGCTGGTGGGATAGTTTTCCAATATTAGTGTTTCATGTTTTAAGATTGTTTTTCTCTCGCTTTTTTGAGACAGGGTCTAGCTACGTAGTCCAGGCTGGCCTCAAACTTGTCAATCCTCCTGCATTAGCCTCCTGAGTGCTAGTTGCAAATATGCACCACCACATCAAGAACACACTTTTAGTTACTTAAAGCTCAATATCTAAGAGTTGTGGAATCCTTAGATTCTAGATGTCTCTAGAAGATCTCCCTCTGACCATGGCAATGCCTGTTAGGGTTGGTACATTTAGTAGTCCGTTTCTTCAAGCTCTAGCAAAAGTTGCACTCTC